AGATCTGCCCATGGTCTACCCATATTCCAAGCCGTCTCTTTGCCCAGACACGCGATACCCATCCTCCCGAAGAACAAACACCTAATGACCATTGTCCAGCACAACTGGTCCTCAGCTTCCGCCCAGATGCTGTGTTTTCGCTACCTGTATTGTTTGTCCAAACAGCACGAGTCTTGTCGAGCTGTCTGGGCGCCCTTAGTGAACGCTCAGCACAAAAGACTAGCTCAGTCTATAGAAAATAACTCCAGTATGAGCTTTAAGAAAATTTTAGAAATATTGTACAATCTAATGCGAAAAAAAAAATGGACCGAAACTATACAGAATATGTTATTTTTTATTTAAAGATTGGACGGTATTTATCAAAAGGGAACCAATTCAACAAAATATACAATAATGAGTTAGAGGCAATTTTGAATGAGATTAATGTTTAATATTTTTTAAAGTAAAAGAACCATCTCTTGCTCCAGGTATATTAAATGGAAAATCGAAATTGAAAAAAAAATATTGAAAAAGAAATACGATGTTTAGAGTAACTAATAAAAAAAATGTAATGTATTCTCATTAATTGAGATTAAAATCTAAGGAAAATTAACTCTTATTTATTTATTAGTTATACATATTTCTGGCTCACAATAAATTTGCCATCTACCTCAGTATTTAGCAAATATGATAACATAGAGAAGAAATGATAGTATAAAAAAAAAGAATTGTAATAAAAAAACAAAAAGTAAAAAAAAAAAAACAAAAAAAAAAACAGTAGTAAAATAACACATAAATTAACTCTAGTAAACTAAAAAAGGTAAGATATGCCTTTAAATTTTTATTTATTTTTTTTTGTCACCTCATCAGTTTTATTTTTTAAATTAAATTGTTATAACCGTGTCTCACTTTAAACAAGCATTTTTTTCTTACTCATTCAATTCCAACAGCTTTCTACTGTTAAAATAATTCTGTAATTAATTGTGGAAGAGATTTTATAATGGGATCCTGTCAATACAATTAATTTTTTTTTTCTTATTTTAATTTTTCAACTTAAAATTTGTTGTATATGTTTTGGCTGTGTAATGTAATTAAATTTCGTTAAAATAATAATTAAAAACGAATTGGCGTGAAACAATAATGACATTGAGCTTTAGGATAACTGCAATGATGATAGATAGCTCCGTGCGTCATTGCATTAGTTTTCTCTCCGATCCGTTGACGTGCCACGGATCTTGATTTCAAATTGCCTGATTTCGATTCGGGGGTTCAGTTAACTGTATATAAGGCCACCGGAAATTATATTTATTTTAGAATACAGATATCCAATTGTCCTATTGTGTTGAAGAACAAAATAAGATTTTTATTTTCTATAATAATAATGAAGCTGTATCGCATTGCTTGAGGACCATTTTTATTTCTTTAATTTTCTAGTTTTGCGTTTCCACATTTCTGTATTTTTATCGAGCAACAAATTGGACGTGCATTGAAAAAGATTTCCAGTCCTAAAACTTTTAATTCACTTATGAAAATATATTTTCTCCTCCCCTATCTTAACTTAGTATTTTTTTTTTTTTTACATTTCATCTGTATTTTGTAAATTGATATTTGAAAATTTTTGTTATACATGTTAATATAACATTTATTTTCTACTTGCCTTGGAAATGGTGAAAACATTTACCATTGTTTATAATAAAATACAAATTTAAATCTAATTGAAGACCTTAGTTAAAGAACCTGAAATATTAAAAAAAAAATTGAATCTAAGAAAAATCTAATTTATTTTTTTTATTCATCTTTTGAAGCTCATTCGTATTAGGCAGAATAAGATTTTACATCTTAAATGATCTATCCGATAAGAGCAAAGAATAAATAATTCATTAAAACTAAAATTAAATTTAATGTATTTGAAAAAAAAATTGGAAGTTTTCAAATAAATATGTTTTATTCTGGGTCAACAATCTAACTTTATTCTACATGTTATGTACTATCCCTAAATATTATATTATTGGATTGATCCAAAATTAAATTTATTGTAGTTTGATTATTAATTTATTTTATTTATTTTATTTTTTTTGTATATTTGTCCCCTTCTGCTAAAAGCCCATCTAGAGTTTCTTCAATTGTAGTTATTGACTTTTTTCTATTTGTTGCTTCTATTTATAAGTTTTTATTAAAATTATTAATTACATACAATAAATTAAAATAATTTTAAATCTAAATATGCAATAATAAATTTAAATAAAGAAGCTATCAGCTTAATTTCTTCCAGGATGAGCAATCACTAATATTGATTTAAGGTATTAATTGTTTCAGAGAAAAAAATATTCTAATTTCTCGCATCAGTTTTTAAATTTATGACGTAGAACAAAGTGACCAGCTGATATACAAAGTGTTTCTTAATACTTTAATTTTTGTTCAGAATTTTCAGGATGTAGAATCAAGGGTTTTTCGAAATCAAATTTACGTTTAATAATCCGTGGTACAGATACCTTTTTATCAAATTATTGACATCCGCCTAAAACTTCATGAATGGTTTCATTTGATCGTAACCTACAAATTTTTTATCTTTGAAAATTCTCAGAAATACTTAATTTAATTATATACGAAATACTCATAAATAACCATTAATTTCCACTTTAAAATATTTTGATAAAAAAAATCGAAAAAAAAAAACATGACTACAAAAGGTTTTTTGGCCTAATTTTGCCATGCGGGGGGTGGTGGTCACGCCAAACCGCCCAATATTTTAGTAGGCCGCCTTGATTGAAATGAAATGAAAAAATATTTTATTATTCTGGGACTGTTGTCCCTTTAGAACAAATGATAAATACAGATTGTATGTCTGTGTGGTCACAATTAGATTGTATAGTTACAATAAGAGTTGATTAAAAATAAAAATACTGAAAAAGAGAAAGAAAAGAACAAGAAAATTGTACATATATATACGATTTTCTGTACATATATATATTATTCTGAATTATGTGATCAAACTATTTTAAGATTCAAGTGGAAAGCATATGGTCGTTTCTTGAGTTTTTAGAACCTAATTAAATAGACAAAGTTTGCCGATATACAGATTAAAACGCTCCAATTCCGAGAATTTTTGTAAATAAAAAGGCTGTACCTTACAATAAGATGGTTCTATTCATCAAATTTTAATAATTTGAGAAAAACTTATTGTTTAAGCTCTGGTGCCTATTTTGCTAGTCCGGTTTTTGGATCTTTTGGTCCTTTATTTTTATTGTTCGGAACAAGAATTTTATGTTGATAAATCCTATTACGCTTAGCATTTCTACGTAGTAAAGACCGATGTTTCTATTTTTTCTCGTTTATCATGAAATACTTTTTTCCCCTACAATGCAAAAGATAAGGGCACAAAAAATGCTTATAATATATTTAAAAACCTTGATAAAAACTCCGACACCGATGAAAGAAACTGTTTTGCTCGGACTGTTAGATGTTGATAAGAAGACGGTGTTCCCAGGGCGGCATAGACCTTGGCCAAGGACTGCTCGGAGCCTTGAGGCAGTGCAATTCTATTGTGTCGGGGCAGCAGTGATTTGTCAAAAAGTTGGCAGGCCCTACACTGAACCATAATCGTTAAAAACAAAAAAATATGAGCAAAAAACCGATGATGCAAGAGGATGGGTTTGGTTGAGCCGAAATGCCGCCCATGCAAACCGATGATTAGTGCCATATGGTGTCGGTAAGGATTGGTCCGGTTCGCTACTTGGCATCTGCCCTGTCCATTTATAAGTAATTCAGCTTCAATGTTCATTTAAAAGAAATTGGTTAAACAAGTTTTTTTTTTTTATGTAACATATTTATTGACACATATTACAATCTGTCACAATTAAGGACATTAGTAATAGTGTTCGAAGAGCACAATCACAATTAGTAAAAATAAATTATACAGAAAAATAATAATCCTAAAAATAAATGTATATAAACTAAACTAAACAAAACGAAACGTCTGCCAAGTCAGGTCAGTTTTCCAAGTTAAGTCAGCTTCCTCACCGTTTTTGGGAAGATATAATATGAGGAAAAATGGTATGAGGGAGAACAGAGGAAGATCAAGAAAACTCTTGGAGGAAGGAGTCAAGGAAGCTTGCAGAAGAGGGACAGACTAGAGGCTTAGATGAGAATCGGTTAAAGAAAGGGCAACTTTAGTCATATTCTACGAGCTGTTGGGTTCAAAATGTGGTACAAGTTTTATTTTTTAGCTTGTACATGTGAGTTCAAACATGCAAAACAAAAAAATTACGTGTGCAGGCCACTTAGGAAAACTAATAAAAACAAAAAAGCCAGATTTTTAAGATCGTTTGTTTTGTAGCATTTATACATGGTATTGACAGAATGTTACTTTCGTTTTTTTTTTTTTTTTTTTTTTTTTTTTTTTTTTTCGAGATCTATTGTACTTCTTTTTTCCCTACAATGTACACATACAAAAAATACTACACATATTTTTAAATGTTGTATGGTTCTTATTGTTTGTACTTTTGTTTATTTTTTTTTTTTCCTTTTGCTATTATTTTTTTGTTCGGCTATAATTTTAATAAATAATAAATTTATTTAAACCAATAATATATGTATCTTATAAGTAATATTTTTTTTTAATACACCTTTTTTGTATCTTTCGTGCCATTTGTTTATTTTTTTTTATAATTAACCAACCTCTATTGGATTATCGTGACGAAAAGAATTTCTTATAAAAACCACATGTGATTTGCAATTATTGTCTAAATTAAATTTTGTTTAAATTATAAATGTAGATTAAATTTATACAAGCAGTAGTTGCTAACTTAAATTTATTAGAAGAAAATTTATGTCTGCATCTTAATTGAATGAATGTAGCTTCGAAACAATGTTGGTATTTACCGATAGTTTGTCATAGTCTTAATTCAGTAGTTTCAGTTACCATTGGGAACTCTGGCAAACTTATATCTATTATTGAAAGACACTTAACTGTCTCGGAGACCTAAGTTGACAGAAAAGTAGCTTAAGAACAGTTTTGTAAACATTCGCCAGGGCTATTAATATTTTATTAGTTGCTATTCTATTCTGCTACATCTAACAGACCACTTCTTCACTCCGTCTCAGACCATGAAGGAGGTCGACATTGACTCTAGGTACTTCAGAGCGATTGGCCTCTGGCAGTTCGTGGTGGGCTATGAAGCCACCTCCTGGGTACTCTTCAACTTCTTCCTAGGGTGCGTATTCCTCCTCAACATCTCCGTCCAGCTGATGAACACGCTCACGGGCGGCTATGAGTTCTCCCTATTCACGGAGAAGCTTTCTGTTAATTTGACGGTGATGGAGTCCGCCATCAAGATAATCTACTACTGTGCCAAGCGACGCAAGCTGTACGGCTTGTCCCAGTGCTTCAGGCGCGACTTCCTCATCTGCAGGAGCCACGACCGCGAGGCCGGGGAACAGGTTCTGAATGCTGGCTTCTCCAGCGTCAACACAGTCACCAAGGGCTTCGTGGTGATGATCTTCACCACCGTTGGGTTGTGGAACAGCTTTCCGTTCCTGAGGTGCCTCACGGGCGACTGCTCTAAGTGGAACATCATGCCATCCTGGTACCCTGAGGCCATGGACGGCCTGCCAGCTTTCATTTACATATTCGAATTTTTCATTATGGTATTTTGCGCTGCTCTGTTGTATAATGTCAACTGCTTCTTCTCTGCTCTTGCCTTGTCGTTGTCGTCACAGTTTCAGCTTCTTACAAAAAGTTTTTCTAGTATTGAGAAAAACGCTGAATCTAGGAAGGGCTATAAAATTTATAACATGGATGTATTACTGAGGGAATGTCTAATAGACCACCAAAGGCTCTTGAGGTATTTATCAGTAAGGATCAGGTACTTAATAGAACTATTTACAATAAATTGTGATCAGTATCCTGATATAATTATTATGCAACACCTTCATCCACTACTAGACAAAGATGACAATATAACGCAGTCGAGAGTAGATATTGTTCAAATCAATCAATGATCAAGTTATGCGTTGAACGAGTTTCTTTAAACTGTTCTCATTTCCTAGCCAGAAGAATATAAATAATAAATAAGACTCTTCTGTTATCTAACTTCTCGTGAAGAACTATTCTTCTATTTAAAAAGAAAACTGGTTACTTAATGTTTAAAAAAATTGAATGAAATGTTGAACTATTTCTAATCTTTAAATTTTAAGGTGTTCGATGAGGTTGAGTTGATCGTGTATTTTTTATAATCGTAGCAACTAGTTTTCAGATCTTCATATGAACATGTAATAGATGAGAAAAACTAAATTTCATTCAGTCTCCTTGTGCTGAATACATCCGTCTGGGATTATTATCATTTAGAAGTGGAAATAAGTAAACGATACTAATTTGAATTTACCTTCGATGATATTCTAAGTATGTTTTTTTATTTTTTTAAAATTGTAACAACAAGCATATCGCGACTAGTAGCACCAATTATGAGTTAACGTTTACTGGAGCAAAGTATCCTAATTACATTGTGCAAAGTTACCTTCAATCACATTTTTAAAATTTGAAGAGATTGTTAACTAAAACCAACATTTATTTGTTATTCAATGATAAAATCTGTACAACTGAGATACCATAATCATCTTAACAATTTTAAAACAAACAATCCAGCAATAGTAGTTTATGATGCGTTATCTAATGGAAAATACCACAAGAATACTTAAAAATAGTCAGCTTCTGTTTACTCTTGCTCCTAATTTTACAACAACCAATCGGAAGATATCCTGATCCTTTAAGACTACCACTGGTGGGCCACTTAATGTGGGGCTTCATATAAATACATGAAATATTTAACGTCATGGAAGCAAGTTCGTACACTTAAGATATACTTTGATTTAACATGAATAAAAATTAAACTGAGGTTATACTGTTGTAAATTATCAAATGAGGATTATATGTAACTATAAGCAACGTTCCCACATTTAATTATCGATGCAGTTTATATTGATACTTTTAGGACCAGTTGCTCCAACTCAGTAAAACTTAGATTAAGCGTTATCTAAGATTAAACCTAGTTTTCTAAGGTCGACCGATCAAGACTAAACTTGGTTTAATCGTAGATAACGCTTGATCTAAGCTTTTCTGAGTTGGAGCAACTGGCCCTTTATAAGAAGACTGAACCAATCAGCTGTTAAGTAAAAGTTCTTGATGCTTTATTATTTCCGTTTTTTACCTAAACCTTCTATTCATTTGTTCCACCTGAAATATAACTAATATGATTTATTCCATTATTCCACTATGGCATCTTCCATTCGAAAATATATTCCTTGCTTTAATGATGTTTTAATTTATGTAACGTACTTTATCTTCCAACATAATATATTCGCATGATAGCAATCTGAGTTGTGTATCTGTCCATTTCAGACTGGCCAAAGAAATGGAGGACATGTACAACCCAATATTTCTGTTTCAAATGCTCACGAGTACATTTACGATATGCCTAGTCCTCGTACAGCTAAATGTAAGTATTAATCTAGTTTTATTTAATTTTACGTAACATAAAACTTTACCAAGTTTTTCTTGATTTTAAAAATTCTTTGGAGGATGTATAACAACTTACGTCGTTGTCGTTAATGGGTTGGTATATACTAGTTTTGAAAGACTTAAGGCCATTTTTTTATTTTCCTTCTTAAAAGAATTATTTTCATAATTATTCCTCTTTTTCCTAAAATACGAAGACGTTCAAAAACACATCGTGGCCTTGATTTTAAAATGTTCTAACAAAATTATGAAAATTGAGTTTTCGTCCAGAAATCACTCACAACTAAGTTTTTATGTATCAAATGAATTGTATTGCTATCAGTTGAAAAATAAAGTAACTAGCAGTATGACATAGTTCTAATTACTGACAAATTTTGAAAGTAATTGGTTTGAGAAGGTTATAACTGCAATATGTTTACGTTATCATTAAATGATCAACATTTCGAAGCTATGGTGTTATTTTTGCAAACAAAATATCTCGTTCAACTTAAAAATTATAACATAGTTTAATAAATCATTTTTTTTTTTTTTTAATAGAGTACGAAATATTTTTATTTAATTCAGTTTTGCGATTTAAAGTACATTCCATGAAATGGAAAACCTCAAATTTTGGAGTAGTTTGTATTTTTTTTTCTATTGGTTGAGTTAAGATATAAGGAAATTAAAATATAAATAGCTTAACGCATAAAGCGGGGTACGGGTGAATAATGGAGTTTTTAAGAGCATTTTTGGATTCAAAGCATCTTATATGTATATTCAATGTTATAAACGTTAAACCTCAAATTTGTGGAGAGTTTTTCTTGGTTGATCACAAATATTTATCGTTACAAATAATAAATGAAAAAAAAAAAACAACAATCATGTTGCTTCACCGTATACCAAAACATCATTCCAACTCCACTTATTTCTGCTCATTTTGACTTGTCCTTAGGTAAATTTAGAGACTGACTGTAAAATGATTAAGAACCAAGATAAAATATCTCCTACATGAAAATAGAGAAACTATCGTCATACAAGTCCTAACACCACGTAACTCAATTTCTCTATCGTTACAGGAGATACAAAAACTACCTTTATTTGTTACTAATATCTTCTCCTTATAATAAGTATTAAATTTCAAACCCAAACGTCTCTCAAAGTACATGTTTTGTATTTTTGACGCTACGAAAATGCATTCTGGAAAAAAAAATCTGACTACAAAATTTCAATATTCAAAATTATATTAATAAGTGGTACAGTTACTTCATCAAGGGATGCAAATATCATTTCACTGCTTCTGGATATTGTACAAACAAAATTGTTAGTCTAAGTAAAAAAATATTCATACAGCAGCAAACTGTAATTTTGACGCTCTGTTCCTCAAAATTATAGAAACTGCAGTTATAACATATCCAAAGCAATGATGAAATCTATTAAACTTTTAACTACAGGACCGTTCATCTTCAAATGGCGAGATGCCGGTGGCAATGGTCTGCAAGTTCTTCATGTACCTCATGTTCGGTTCGATGGAGCTCCTGGTCTACAGCTGGGGAGGGCAGATAGTTTACGACGAGGTGAGTTTTCAGCAACTTCCAAACAGAGTTGTATTTTCTCCTCGGAAGTGTGTCAATGGTGGCGATGTGGTAGTATTTTTATCCTACAGATTACAGGAACCAGTTTTGGACGCATTTATCCCACTTTAGAGTCGACACTACAGTTCGTGGGCAGGGAACCATTCGGTCATGGAATATTCATTCTTATCTTTATTGAGCTTTGGACTGTAAAAATAAATGGAGTTAAATATTGTCATGTTACGTGCTTTAATATGTGCGTTTAACTTTCTCTGGAATATTTTAAAATAATAAAAAAAAAAAAAATTATTTCAAATTATGTAATAAAATAAATTTTTAAAAATAGCAGAAACCGTAATAATACATGATAAATTAGAAAAAATTTATATATATATATATATATATATATATATATATATATACTTAAAATTAGTTCATTAAAATGCTTTCTACTTGATGTTTATTACTTCCTGTTGCAAAAATACAATTTATGTATTAACTTTGTTCTACAATTGATTTTCAAGGAATTATAAGCTAGTTTGAAAACTTATCGATTTTTATTGGATCTTAAAAAACAGATAAAAAAGTATGTTAATTATGGGAACCATAACGCTTTAAGGGATACCATTTCTTGAAACGTGGTTAAATTTAGTATTTTAATATAATTTAAAAAGATTAATTACATTGTAATGTTTAAGTAATTGGCTTAGATCAATCACATAATCTGAATATAACTCAATGAAAAAATAATTTAGAGTTATATTTTAATTTATGATAAGTGATACATATACGCGTTAATTTGAATAGAATAATTAACATATTGTACACCTTACTATTATTAAAAATGAGTATTCGATTCTATGAATAACAAAATTTCTAAGCAACATTGTTATTCACTTTTCGTCATTAGTCACGCTCTGATTTTTATTCAACGATGTATTAATAATAACAAATTATTATATCAACAACCTATAATTATATTATTTTAATAACGTATTTTTATGTTGTTTTTTTTCCTTAATAAGTTCACTTGTTATTGTTATATTTTGTTACGTTTTATAAATATTAGTGATGTTTTTATTTTAATATTGCTTGAAGAACCAAAGTTTTGACTATTATATGACTTTCAATATTATCGTAAGATATTTTTGTAAATAACATTCTTTGGTTAATAAATAGGATTAATTTATATTTATTTACTTATATATTTGGAAGTGTTTTAAGGAAGATATCTAGAACATCTATTTAAAAAAAAAAAAATTTTATAATGTTCCAAACGTTTTAAGAAAATTGAACTATTTATACAAATACTTGTTATAAATGAAATACTATTGCTTAATAATTATTATTCGTATTATTATCCCATTAATACGACCCATGTACTTCTAATGTATTGTTGCCTCAATAAGAATTTTTAGAAATTGGAATTAATATTCATTGATAATGGAATGAAATACTGTTAAAATTTTTATTAAGTACAACATTTAAAATCAGTCAAGGAAACTCCAAACTGGGCGTATCATTTCACATGTGGAAGGAAAATCAGGACTCCAGTAGATCCCTGGACTACTCTCTCAACCGCATCTCTGCTACTAAAAGCCAGTGAATATTAAGTGAGAGCACCACAGACTTATTCTTAAGGCAATGAAACCCTTTAAATTGATAGGTTGTTGAAATAGTAATTATTGAAAAATATTACTTCATTGATTATAATGATGATTCTTATTTATTATGTTTTATGATCTTCTAGACACCATTTCTCAAGCTGTAATTTATCCACCCAAGTGGAAACAATGGCAATAGCTCATATATAAATTAAATTATAATCAAAATTTAACGAACATTATAACCGTGATTCCTTCCCCTTACGGCACCAGACTACAATAATAATTATGGAACATTAGAAGAACCGCGGGGTTTAATGATAAATTGCAGGCCGTAAAGTTAACAAGGCACTAAGCGAATGATAATAAGCTTTTGATAAGTTAGATGGGCTAGGAAAGCTTTTAAACGAACCTTATCCGCATCACGAGCCTGATGCAGCAACTTTAACCGAATCCGAAAGGTTGAAGGTGAAGGACAGAGGAACGGGGATCATGAAGTTTATAACCGGGTTTCTCGTTGGTCTCTCTTACATACTTTTCCCATTATGCTTCTTACATTTAGTTTTTCTTTTATCTGTTTACCCATTACGAAGCAATCAATGTCTATTTACAGCTGACACATGTAAATTGTGTAAGCATAAAAAATGTCAGAGAGGACGTTCTCTACGGAATCCTTCAAAAGGGAATCATTAATTGCTACTTTTCATTAAAATGTTAATGTATACAAAAAGGTTGCTAGTGTATTGTTTTTTTTTAATACATATATTCGCTGCAGATTTAAATTCTGCAATAGTATGAACATTACATTTCTTGTTTTAGCTTAAAACAAAACTTCTTACCTTCTCTTTTGAATCCAGTTGTGATCTCTTTGTATCTCTTTTGAACTATGTTGTGAAAAACTTGTTGTCAAATTTTGCAATCATATTGTTTCATGGGCCCTCATAAAAATTTCATAAAGAATAAGTGAGATATTATTTAAAAAATCCTTAAGGCTCATAAAATGTGAGCATAAGTAATGTTTTTTTTTTTGTTTTTTCTAGTCATATCATTCAGGTTCGTATCATTCGTGTATGAATGCGTTAATGAGGAGCAACATTTTTCTTAATATCGTCTGCGAAAGAGGTACATAAATTGAGAACAAATAATATTCCTTTTTTTTATAAAAAAAAAAATTAACATTCTATTTTAATTAATTATTTATTTATTAGAACTTTTTAGAAGTGAAAAAACGACATTCTATGAAATAAAAGAATGACTAAAAGACAGAATTATATTGTAATTTTAGAAATTTTATGAAGCGGTGCATGGTAAGAGATGATAATAATTAAAAAAAAAAAAGAAAATGTTATAAAATAGAATTTGGACTATTTATATTACTGATAGTTGTTAAAATAATATGTGTCTAATAAGGATATATTTCGAACTGTAAAAACTGAAATAAAATTAGTTTGCAAGATCTTGAAAGTGGCTCCTGAAGCCGAAACGTTGAATAAATAATATAGGATGTAAAAAATGTGTACATTTGGTGACCTTTGACCTTTATTTTATATAAAAAAAAGTAATGATTTTTTTTTAACAAAGTACTGAATATTTATAAACAACTTTGTCGATAAATTGGAATAGATTGATAGCTTAAAAAATAAATAAATTGTTTTCTCCTTAATGAAAATGCTGAATTTTGAAGAAAACGACACCAAAAAAATATTGTAAATTAAGTTATTGTTCGATGATTATTCTACAAAAAAATAATAATGGATTTACTCATGTAGATGACATGCGTGAAGTACTTATTCAAAAGTGTATTACCTGCTTAGACAGAGAGGGGT